TACGACCCTTAGTCATTAGAAAACCCCACGTCCTCCTTTCTGATGAAACTTCTAGGCTGATAGTGAACATATCGGTACACTGAATTTTCTGTCATTTTGTCAAGACCTTTAAATGTGAACTGCTCAGACCCTGTTGTATTAATGCATTCCTTTCCGTTTTTCTGATCTGTGACTGTCATCAGCTTGTTACCTGTAACAGCCTGTCTGAATATTTTCAGCTTTCTTTCATCAGACATTTTGATTGTTTTCTGATCTTTCATCCATAAGAGACTTGGTTTATATTGTATACATGACTGTATTACCAGGCATCTTTAAGATAAATGAAATAACTTGCTTGTATTAATTAATAAACTGATGACTGGCCATTTCAAGAGGAGGGGATTGTAGCACTTTTCTCTGCGTAGGATAGGAGCTGTAGCAGCCATAAGCATCCAGTATTTAGGGACCTGATAAAAGTTTCTGCGTGGGCTGTGTTTGTGCTGGTGGAAATAAGATGCCTGTGCTTACAGCGTTGGCTGTTTGCATTCGTGGTTTGTTATGACTCCTAGCGATCAAGCTGAGTTGAGTCCAGAGGAGTTGAGTTTATTTTGGTGTGTTCATAGCCCTAATTAGTGGAATGTTTTCATTGGGTCCAAGATCTCAGTGGAGGCCGTGGTCTACAAAGAAATTTTAATTAGGTGTGTGTTAATTTGAGTAGAACTTCAGTGTGTGGAAGGATTTGTGACACGCTACCAAACCAAATGTTCAGTAAGCTTGACTGCTCTTAATCTCCCTGAAAGCTAGATGGTTAACCACAATTTGGTTAACTAACTAGATGCAAACTCTCGTGGTTGTGAATGCTTGTCTGCTATCAGTTCTGAATGCCCTTATCTTCCCATACATGGTAACCTGTGAAGGCTTCTTCCACAGGGGTGATTTCAGAGCAGTGTATCGGTGACACTCTGAAGAGTGCCAGTGATGGCACAGTGCCTGAGGGTTCTGAGCTGGGACAGGGCTGCATTACCTGCAGTGATGTAGCTCTGTCACCAGTTCTGTGTCACCTGGCAGACGTGCCGGTGGTATTACGAAGAAATCAAAGCTTGGCATCTTTAGGTCTTCTTAAGCTCTTGGAGAGAGCTGCACCTTCAGAGTTAGAGAGGTCTTATTCCTTCACAGCAAGGAAGCTAAAACAGTATTAAGTCAATAAAGCTGATTATTATGTGGTGATGCTGTGTAAGGAATATGTTGAGTACATCAATAGTCACTTAATGGAGGAAGCAGTGATCCTGCACATCATCTTCCTCTTCTCCTAGAGGAACTGTCACCCTTGGAGCAGTTTGGTTACCAGGAACTGCAGTACTTAGTAGTATTGCTGACCATCTCTCCAGAGCAAAAAGGACATCACAGTAATGAAGGCCAAGGTACAAACAGGAGTTTTTAGACTGGTGCCAGCTGAACAGGTGGATAGAAACTCTGAGAGACTCCGCCTTGACCTGCAGAGAGTTCAGAGATGCTGAGCAGGTTTTGAGGTGGAGAGACACGTGGCAGGTCCATGGTGATAAAAGCAGTTGTGCAGGGCTCTGGGGGGAGAAATGAGCTCTGTTTTAGTCCCATTTAGTTGTGAGCTGACAACTTAGCATTGACAAAGATGTCAGACTGAGACTGTTCTTTGAACATAAGGAGGCAGATCCTGAGCAGAGACGCAGATCTGAGTAGTCAGTGCAGTGATGGGAGCTTGAACTTGTTTTGCAGATGAGATCCCTGAGACAAGATACCGAGGACAGAGAGACCTGAGAATAGAGAGCCTTGGTGAAGAATGAAGATCCATGATGAGAAAAATAAGAAAAGATTAGTAAGTAAGATTAGTAAGTGCAGTAAGAATACGAGTGTCTTGTCCTATTTCAAGAGTAGGAGGATTGTCTGAAAAGGAGGATGCGGCTGGAGAGTTTTCATTGAAGTGTGGGAGCTGGTGAGAGTTCATGTAGTCGGGGTAAAACTGCTCCAACAACACTAGAGATGAAGTAGAAAGAGGTGAAGAGGCACAGGTGGGTTTTTTTTTCCTATTATTTTGATGGTTGATGAGAAAAATAAAGGCATCTTCCTGCAGAAGGGTTAAAGCAGAGGAAGGCTAGATGAGATGGTCAGAGGGAAATACTGGGGCTGCAGGCAGTTGGACAGGAATGGGATTAGTTGGCAGTTGATGGGATCAAGGAGAATGTATGGGAGAAGGGCAAATGTTTATCTTTGCCCTTTGTACCTTGCAGACCTTCCCTTCCTAAAACACTCTCTCAAGTCTCCTGTGATGATTTTTTCCTCTTTAGAGGAACTAAGGCTGAGTAAGCTTGAGGAATAGAGCAGTGGGTAAGTGTGACTGAAATATGACTCAAAATTCAACCTTCTCTAGCTGAAGTATTTAAATACATGGAAGAGGTGGAAGAAGGATGGCAAATCCTGGCAGATGTGGAAAGAAGAGGAAAAGAGCTACAGCTGGAGGTGATCCATGTGGATTTTATTGTGGCAGAGGAGGCCAAAGAATTCAAGGTAGTGGGAACAGCCACCATATCAGTGAGTGTGGGAGTAGGGGGCTAAGGGTGAACAACTGACAAACGTTGTAGCCTCTCTACCACTTCCATGCAGTCACGTTAGGATTTAAGGAGTTCATGTCTCATGCTGTAAGACAACAGAGGCAGGAAAAATGTTTCTGAAGCAGTGAAAGAGGCAGAGGGAAGAAAATGAGCAAAGAAAAACATGAAGTTGAGACAACAGTAGGACATATGAAAATGAAACTTGCTGGAAGTATCTGTAAAGGATTATGTGGTTCCTGTCTTCCCAGACTGTAGGGAGAAGTATTTTTTTTCCTTTTGCTTCACTACAGTTCCAGTGAGTTAGAACAGTGACTTCTTTAGATTAAGCAGATCTGTACTACCCACTGCCTGTGTGTGGCAAGCAGTTCTCTGTACCATGTACAAGCAGCCAATGTCTGTGCAGACTCTTTTCTTCCTGCACAAATGCTGAGGGCATCTTGCTTGTTTTATGCTTGAAAGGGAGGCTTGTTCTGTGGCTTGGACTCAAAACAATGGGTTTGATTTGATTTGATTTTTCTTTTCTACTCCATTAGCTGCAAAAGATACATAAAGCACAGCAGCTCTAAGTTCATTTAATTTGATTGCTAGAAGTCTTCGTATGTTCCAAGTAAATATTTGGTAATTGTTTTACAAAAGAATATTTTTTTTGCCCACAGTCAGAGTATGTACAAGAGAAAGGAAGTTCTGATACAACTTCTTGATGAAAAATTCACTGCCCCTGTTCCCCACCTCCTTTAGGGTGCTTTTTCTCTCTCACTTGTTTGAAAGGAGAGCAATGAGAGGGGAGTTCAAGGGATCAGAGATAACCTGACAGCACTGAGGAGTTAGTGAATTTTGGAAGTGAACTGTGTGGCCTCTGAATGGCAAAATGAATGAATGGTGGCTTCTTCTGGTTCTGGTGGTTGTAATTCATCTGGTATGCTTAATTCTCCCACCCCTGCTTACGTGCTCATTCCGTGTCCCCTGGGCATGTGCTCTGCCTTCCCCTGGCCTGCCACGCTGGCTGGCGGAGGTGGGAGTTCCTTGGAAGCCGTGCCCACAGTGCTTGTTGGGTGTTCCCAGGTGGTCACAGGGCTTCCTTCTCTCACTGTTTGGCCATTTCATTGGTCGAGCTGCACCTCCCTGTGCTGCAGGGCCAGCTGGTGTTTGTGGCTGGACAGCTGGAGTGGCCCAGTGGATCTGGCAGTCTCAAGGTGAGGAAGGAGTATTGGAAGTGGCACACCTCATGAAAGCTTTGTTTTCCTGTGCCTTGCTTAATTTTAAACTCCCATAAAATAACCTGATTCTAAGGCAAGTCTCCACTTCGAGATGGTCATACCACTTGAAAGAAGCTTGCTGTCTTAACTTCTGAAGGCTGCTGAGCTGGTTGCTCTCGCTGACTAGAAGCACAAACCCCGTGATTTAAGGACTAATGTAGGTGGATTTTTCTCTCTTTTTTTTTGTTTAAATTTTCTTTGACTGGCATCTTTCTATTTGCTTTGCCTACTTCAAGAGCTAGTTTATTCAAAGCTGAGAAATAAATCAGCTAAGATAATGAAGAAGCAGGAAGGTTTGCTCTCCTCTTTTATAAGGGGGGTAAACTCCCTGAATTTAAGATATTGTAGCCTAGAAACGTAGAATGGTATGAACAGAAGTAGATTGCTAGGCTGAAGATCATGGTTTAATAAAGATCAAAACTTACATGTAAGGTACTGGGGACACAGGTCACATGTGCACCCACCCACAGGGACTTCACAGGATTTTTGCTTTTGCTTGGGTGCGACATGAAAGCTGAAGGACATTCTTTTGGGATGTCACAAGATCATGCTTTGTTTTTTAGCATAAACTCGAATGAATGTACAGGTCTTTGCTTAAATCTGGATAGGGATAGTGTCTTTGGAGTTTAGAAGGTGCCAGATAAAGAATATCTTCAACAGGTTTTCCAAATAGCGATGGATTTTACTGTCTCGGTAGGAAAACTGCCAGTACAAGAGCAATATTAACCTTAATTTCTTTGAATTTGGGGAGTGGTTGTGGTCTGCTTGCTTGGTAGAAAAAAAGTTTAACTGCTCTCAAGCTTCTAAACTCTGAGTGATTCTTTCTGAGGTCTTGCACACGAAGGCCTTGAAGCATGCCAGAGAGCAGGAGTAGATGGCATAGTTGGGAGCGAGAGAAGTTTATTCCTCCTCAGCTTTCTGGCGGTGAGCTTTTGTTCTACCTACAGCCAGGAAAAACTGGAGATGGGAAACAAGATGTGAGCCAGAGAGGAAACTGAGTAATAGCTGGGTCCACGTTGTTAGTTCCTCTGATGGGGCTTATTTATTACAGTGTCTAGGGGAACCTCGTATGAAAGAGTTTCAAACTCACCCCTTGCGCCATAGAATTGACTTCCACAAACTGTTGCAGAGGAAACATCTGTGGATGGAAAAACATCCTGTGACAGATAATACAAGGAAAGAGAAGTGAACTGACCCACTCTATCCTTGTTTGTATTGCAGGTATAAAATGCAGTGTTTGTGCACATGCTTGATGTGGGAGTTATTGATGCCTCTTCTCTTTTCCCCTTATAGGCAAGGTGATATGAACTTCCTGGTTCTCAAAACAGCACTGATGTCGCTTGTCCTCCTTCTTTCTTCCCTTTACCTTTCCCATGCAGTCAAAGTATCAGCAGTAGAGGTCAACACGCCGGAGGAGATGTTTGTGGAGAACGGGACAGACGCGAAGCTCCCCTGCACGTTCACATCCGTGGAGGTGATCAGCAGCGCAGCGTCTGTGTCCTGGAGCTTTCAACCAGAGGGAGCCGCAACTCGTATCTCAGTAAGGAGGGGCTGTAGGGGGACAAACCCGGGAGGGGAGGCTGCCCTAAGTGTGCAGTGGTTCTAGTTGGTTCTAAGGAGCAAGAAGATTATGGATTCGAGCCTCCTTCCACACGTGTCTTGTCTCCATCACTGTGATTTTAGGGGGATCTCTGCAAAGACTGGAGCGTGCAGTGAGTGTAAAATACACCGGCTGCTTTGTTAGTCTGAGGAGAGGGGTGTTGGTGTGGTAGCACTATGTATGAAGCAGATGAGCATCTAGGAATCTTCTAAGTTCTCTATCCACTTGCACTTAAAATGAGTGGTTGCAGGATTTGAATTATCACTGGAATTGCAGTGTTACATTGTGTTGTGCTCGTTGCTTATTTTGCTTGTGTACTGTATAGCCTCTGTTAGAGAGGGCTTGAAGTAACAGCAGTCTCCCTGGTTTCAGAACAGAATTGAATGGCTTAAATCAGTGAGCAGTTACATCCTCATATTATAGTTATATGACAAGTAAAAAGCCAGGCTAGCAAGGAACTTAGGAAAACACTCATTAGGAAAACACTGACATCACTCATTTCCTGTATGTTGAGCCCAAGTGGGCTCAGATCCCTTGGGTGTGAAACCTTAAAAGAAATGGCTTTGATAGGTTGTTAGCTGTCTTCTTCCTCTGTTGCATAAGCTGGGCACATCTGAGCTCTCTGACACTTCTGCTTCCTTCTGGTTCCCTGTCCTGAGTGAGAATTCAGAGGAAGCTGAACAAGGGACTCTGGGGCAGCAGGGAAGATGTGGGGACAGCAGGGTGCTCAGCCTGTCTGCTTCCCCTCTGCTGCAGACATGGGATCACTTAAACTCTAGGACCCCTTCAGTGCTAAAAGCAGATATGATCCAAAACACTGTATGAGCATCTTGCTCAATATATAGAGCTCTGAAGAACAAGCTTCTCAATTTTCAGTGAAATAAATATTTAGTTTTGAAAAGGGTGCTTTTCTCCTTGGGAAGCCAAAGCAGTAGTTTGTCAAAAGTTTAAGAGAGTAGGGCACGTTTCCTGCTAACGTTGAACAGAGTGGGTGAAATCAAGCCATCTGTTTGTACATTTTCCACTCCCCATATATCCTTCCATGCCCTTTCAGCATCACTGTCCAGTTGTGAAAATACAACTTCAGGAGGTAACATTTTTTGGAAGTGTAGTCAGTTCAGACGTTCCACATGAATGTTGTTATCAGCACAGTTGAGTGAAAAGCAGAAGTGGCCCAGCATGATCTGATGTTCATTCCTCTGTTTCTTTTGAGGGGCTAGGGGAAGGATAGAGGGAACATTTTTCTTTTATGAGCCCAAGTCATGTCATTACGTATCTTGGTGGGCTTTAATTTGAAAGATTGGTCTCATGATCAGTTCATGTCTGAGCTAAGTCCATGCTTCTCTTGACGAGGATGGTCCTGCCCCTCTTCAGAATCACATTGGCAATCTTATGGCCATGTGGTGAGGCTGACTTGACCAAGAGCTTCCCCTCCTTGTCCCCTTCCCCTGACACATGTCCAGGGATAGAGACATCTCTGCGTGAATGAAACGTCTGATCACAGCAGAGTTTCACAATCGGCTCGAAATCACAACCAGTCAGAATCTGTCAGTGTTAGGTTTCAAAAGAAGCCTCATGTTAAATCACTCAATCATAGGCAAGGAGTGGCTTGAGTCACTTAGCCTGTGTTTCAGGACATATTTTACTTTGTGATTTCTCCTCCCCCAGGTGAGGACACCTAGAGAGCTGAGGAATCTACCTCTTGCCTTCTAGACTTCCGGTCGGATGACTTCCCCTGTGCACAGGGGGGTGGTAATGCAGTGCTGCTGTGCTAAAGGTTATAATCCAGCTGGAAAAGCTGCAGACTGATGCAGTTCCTCCAAAATGTTGAAAGATGACTGTGTGCTAGCAGACTTCCTTCCACATGAGATAGTTTGTTGGATTTATGCTAATCTGTAGACTTCTGTTAGGGGATCCCATGTGTTTGAAAGGAGAGATGTCCTGTAGAAGTCTGTGCACTTCTACTGCTGTAAATTCCAATTATGGTCAGGTATAGTTAGGACATGTGCAGTTTCTCCCTAGACTGTACTACCCAGGTTCATTCTTCAAGGATTTTTGGTCTTGTCTGGGTTGTGCAGGGCCAATGTGCAACTTACTCATCAAAAAACTCAGAAACGGTTCTATTTAGTTACTTGAAGGTTTCTGGAAAACAGCTAGATATGCTCTAAATTGCTCATGGGATCTTTTTGGGGGGTAGAAGGAAGGAGGATGTTGCATGTTAATTTAGCTGTGCTTTAGTTGCAAGTAACACACAGCAAAACACGAGATAGGAAACTTGGTATCCTTTCCCTACGAGGATGCAGGCAGCTTCCTGTGCCTAAAAGATAGATGGCTGTGTTCCAGAACTGTTCTGTCCTTTAATTATTCCCAGGTTACCGGCCTTTTTCTCTCCCCCCACCCCCACCCCGTGTGCAAAACTCTATGTCCCTCAAAACAGGAGAAAAAAACCCAAACAACGAAACAATTGAACCACAAAACAAATCAAAACCAACAGAAAACTGGAACTTGTGGTCTGCTGTGCTGGTAGGGTTGAGGTATAAGCCATAGCATGATTATGTGATCAAGAGGCAACAAGCCAGACTAAAGTGGTGAGGCAGGAGGAGGAAAAAAGTTTCAAATATGTGTCATTCAGTTAGTTTTGAGAGAATGCTGTAACAATGAGAGAAGCATGGTAGCTCTCTAACTGGATTGTTCTTATATCCTCTTTTCCTTGACTACAGTTTTTCTATTACTCTAATGGAAAATCATACCCTGGAAAGGACATACCATTTAAAGACAGGATCACTTGGGCTGGAGATCTTAACAAGAAAGATGCTTCTATCACTATATCAAACATGCAGTTCCGGGACAACGGCACGTACATTTGTGATGTCAAGAACCCACCTGACATTGTTGTCAAACCAGGAGAAATCCGAGTTAGAGTTGTGGAGAAAGGTATTCACCCTATATGGTTTTTTTCCTTCCCACCTTTTTTTAATTTTATTTTATTTTCCCCCTCCCTTGTCTGTGTCACTTTTATTGGGGGTGGGGGAGTAGCCTGGAGGGAACAATTATACTTTTAATTCTCTTCTTCCAGGTCCTAATGATTGAACCGATGTCTGTCAGCTGTTTAAAAAACTGAATGTCACACACTTTTCCTCCATACCCGTTAATTCCTATGCTTTGAACAATTATTAGCAAAAGCTGGTGGAAGCCTTGATGAAAACCTATCCTCTCATTTCAAAGTCCTATGAATGTATTTCCTGCATTTCGCTACATTAAGGGCTAGGATGACATTTGAAATCTGGGGAGCAAGGAGACAAAGTGGCAGACACTTTCCTTTGGAACCCTTCTGGTATATATAATGGAATACAACACCATAAATCTACCCCAAGCACCTACTGACAGTGAAATGCTGCTGTCTTCCCTGCAAAGGTGTTTGTGTTGGATGTACATTCAGTCTCTTCTACTGGGATGTTCTTTCAGTGGTGACCCTTATAAACGGCAAGGGCTGGCTGCCTGCAGCCACATAAGGCTTCTGGTTAGCATTTGGCAACATCACTCACAGTCCAAACACTTAGATTCTGTGTGTCAATTTGGCTCTTTATTTCCCTTGATCATCCAAAACATTTGATTGTTCTGCCTAAGCTGGAGGTCAGCCAAAGTGAGATGCTTCCTGCAATGAAATGATTCTTGCAGTGATTGGATTTCCAAACTCGTAATTGAATAAGGACGAGAATAAATGCTGAATTCTCAAATGGCAGTGCAGATGCAGCTGTTTCATGAGATTTTAGTATGTAAGAGAAGATACCTATGTGTATGCTCTAATTAGAATGATGCTGCTGCTATAGCAGGTGTGTACCCCTGCTCATGAGGTCATTCCATGTTTCTTTGTATTTAACTTTTCTCTTCATGCAGCAGTTTGAGTTGGACGGACCTCCGGAGGTCCAAGCATCACTTAGAACTTTCTGTTTCTTGGAAGTTTGAAGTCTATATAAAACAGGGGCAGTTTATTTTCTCACAGGGTATTGATGGTCACCATGAAGAAGCAGTAAAGCAACTGCCAGTTTGGCAAAGTCAGGCTGTTCTTGGCAAAGCCTCTTCAGATTTTAACCCAGGTTAAGCAAATGAAGGCTGACTTAGGTCCACTAATTCAGCTGATATTTTTTCAACAGACTTGCACGCTGGCTTCCCCATAGGTGGGGCATCTGGACAAGAAGATCACAGTGATTGTGGAGGAAACCTTGTATTCGAAATAGTTCTCATCCTGAGAAAAATGCTGCAACAGTTGTCTTCGAATTCTTAAGAAGACTGTGAAAACAGGTTTTCAAGCTATAGCTGTAATGCTGTCTTGCATTCTGACTTCAGCTGAAAGTACTGCTCCTGTAATAAATAGGTTGTAACTCTAGTTGTAATAGGCAGCTACTTCACAGTGTGTTTGAGATGTTTGAGACAGCTGGTGTTGCCTGGAGGTTGTTCATCTTTGATCTGAAAGCACATGGGGGAAAAAATGAGAATTGTGTGAAAATCTTTATACTTAGGAGCAACGGAAACTTCCCTTTCCTGCCTGTTTCATAGAACTGATGCTAACACGCTTTCAGCGAAAATGGAAATTGCTTTGAATTACAGTGATAATTGTAATTACACTGAAATACAGTGGAAAGTGTTCTCTGGATGGCTGGATTTTTGGTTTGCGTTGAGCTGTTAACTAAAATGTTAGCTTTCAGAGCTGGTGTTCTGTTATGTAGCTAGGAGTATCTGTTATAATGAAGTCATTGGCTGCTCTGGGAGTACTTATGAGGAAATCATGTAACTGGAATGCTGGAAAATATAGGAAAAACATGGGGGCGAAACATTCTTTAGCTGAACTAAGTGATCATAAAATTGTGTGAGCTCTTCTGTAGTCTGCTGGACCATGTTCTGAGAAGCAATAAAGCAATACTCTAGTTTCACATGCAAACAGTTGCATTTTTTTATATGGTCTTGATAACCTCTGTCACCAGAACGTAACTGCTGTCCATCCCTCAGACTCGACAAACCAGAAACCCCCCTGAGTCAAAGTGACAACACCATCAAATTTTAACATTGTTCTTCCAGCAAACACTCTGCTCCCTAGTTTTGGATTGTTACTTGATTTCTTGCTCTGAAAAAGTGTATGTGTTTTCTTTTGTGGTGTACAAGGCAGCAGCTCCTCTGCTGACAGAAATGCATGTCTGTTTTGATGCTTTTGCAGGCAGTTATTCCTGCACTTTTGGAAAGGTGAAAAAGCACAGAAAATAGGGAACTCCTACTTCTTATGTGCCTCAAAATAAATTTATTTTTGCTTGGGGCTCAAATACAATCACCTGAAAAATATTACCATCTGTAGGACTTTCTTCCTTAATAGCAGAAGGATCTCTGGGCTGCTGAAGGTTCTGAAAAGAAGGGATGTCGTCTTTTAAGTTGTGGCACTCATGTCTTCATCTGTAATTTCTTACTGAGGCAGCTCTTCTCCTGAAAGTCACTGAACCCCAAAAGAACAGAACTAAGTGAAAGCCCTGTTTTCTTAGTATGATGCACCTGCTTCAGGGTACTGCTCCCTTCTGCATAAGTGTGTCAAAATGGGCTTGGTCAACAGACTGCAGACTGGCTGGGAAGGGCTTGAATACACCTGGTCTGTGGTCCTTGCTGGAACAAGTCTGGCAAAGGATGACTAAGATGATTAAGGGACTGAACCACCTTTCATACGAGGAGAAATGGAGAGAAATGGGGTTGTCCAGCCTGCAGAAGAGAAGAAGGGGTGATCTAGCCTGCAAAAGAGAAGAAAGGCTCAGGGGAATTCTCTCACCAGTGTTTATGTACATTGATGGCATCTAAAGAAGACTGAGCCAGGCTCTTCAGTGGTGCCTGGTGACAGGACAAGAGACAAAAAGTGTAAATTGAAACACCGGAAATTCTGTCTGAGCTTAACTCCACATTTTCACTGCGATTGAACACTGGAGTAGATTGCCCAAAGAGTCTCCCATCCCTAGGGACAGTCAATTCCAAACTGAACAGTGTTGAGCAAACTGAGCTGCCTGATCCTGCTTGAGCAGGGGGGTTGGACTGGACAATCTCGAGATGTCCCTTCCAACCTCAGCAGTTCTGTGATAACCAGACGAAGGTGAGAGAAAAGTCTGAGACAGATTTTTCTGTATAAGAAGACCTGTTGGGTCTTCTGCTGATTCACTTGTATTTGGTACAAGTAGCTGGTACAGCTTGGAGTCTTGTAAGAAACCCTCTGGCCTAAGATGTTCCTTGCATTAAACACAGTGCAGGGGGAAGGAAAGGACTTTGTTTCTTACTGGGAAAAGCTATAATGGTAGTCTGTGTATTCTTTATCTTGTAGGTCTTTTCTACTCATTCTCTTCTGATTGGCTTTTGTTTCTGACTGCTCTTTCTTAGCCTACATTCCCCCAAAATAATATTAGGGAAAATGTGAGTAAAGCAATACTGCATTCCTCTACGTATATTTCTGGTATTGTGCAGTGATCCTGATGCAAGAAGGAAAAAAATGCATCCGTAAAGATGTATAGAACTGTATTTAGAGACACCAGAATCATGTAAAAATACTAGTAAGATTGATCATAGGTAGGAACTGTGCTGTCTGCTGCATGCTACCTGGAGAACACCCAGCCTTCAGTGGGTTAGCAACGTGCTGTGTTCAAATCTGCTTTCAAGCGTGCTTGCCTTTTCCTGTTGACCTTGGTGGGAATTTGCAGATGGATGTAAGTTCCCCCCCGCACCCCTTCAGATACAAAACGAGACAGGGTTGTCCTCGTTGTCAGCTGTGTTCCCTGACATGTGAAACTTCTCGGTTCGATATAAAGGCAGTTCTGAAGGACGGTGGCACTGAGAACACCCCCGGTGCGTGCTCTGTTCACACGCTGTTCTGCTGGCTGCCTGCTGTCACCGCCTCTCAGGCTGCAGGTTGTGATTTCTGGATGTTACATTAGTGCCTCCCGCTCTAAACGAATCCAAGCTCGAGAGCGTTTGTGGTTTGCACTTCTGTTGATGAGGGAATGCAGAAGAGTTGAATGTTTTCTCCCTTCTCTCCCCAGACAGCCTGCCTGCGTTCCCCATTGCCACGGTGGCGGGGATAGCCATCGGTACGGTTACAGGTCTCTCATCGCTCATCTCTATTGTCGTGTGTCTTGTCATCAGAAAGAACAACTCTAAAAAACGATACTCTGGGTAAGAGATCTCCCTCCTCACCTTTGGGTGATGTGAGGAACAGCAGCAGGAGCAGAGGGAGGGCTTGAAGGGGGGTAGGAGTTGTTTCGGCCAAGTCTTGGCAGCCATGGCTACAGATAGGGTATGGCCATGTGGAGCACTGATCATCTGCCTTTAATGAATTATCTTTGTGCTGTGCTTGAAAAGGCATACTGACCAGGAGTTGCACCTGAAAATCACTAGATATTGAAGTTGATCCCCAGCCACAGGCATATATGCCCTAAGAACATTTAACCCAAGATCCCCTAGCTCTGGTCTGTTCCCCTTCCCTCCAGCTCTACTTTCCCTACCACCTCCAAAGGAAAAGTGCCATATGTACACTTTCAAGGAATGCTCTGTGTTGAGATTAGGACTGGGTTTTTCAGTCTGACTCCTAAGCCTGGAGTATACTTGCCAAAACCCCATTCATCACCACACTTCAAAGTAAGGAAGGAGTAGCCACTCTGCATCCGTTCTCATTCACTGTCTGGTTTTTGTTAACTGTTCCCATCCCTGCAGGGTTTTTAGTGTTAGGAGGGTAACCCCAAAGTGAAGCACAGTTCTTTGTGTGGGCATATGAAAAAGCAACAAGAACTAACAGAGGTCCTGTGGTGATGAAGCTTGATACTGGTGGAGGAGGTGCTTCCTTTTTTCTCCTCTCTAATTAGATGGTAATTTGCTTCTATAAGAAAGAATGAAAATTATGTATGGAGTCTTAGAAACAAACCCCAAACTTATAACTTTCTTCTGTTCTTTCCCCAACAAATATTCCTGCTTGCTGCAGGTCCTTTGGGTTGCCCTTGGGATAAAAGAAAATAACTCCAAAAATAAACTTGTGGGGATTTCCAAATTAAACTTTGCCCTGTCCTTTTCCCAGTTGGAGAGCTTAGAGAAAGGGAGTTGGCTATTGCCCAATGGTAAGGCTAAATACATCAAAGGCGGCTGTGTGTGCTCAAAATTGTGTGGAAAGCCTGGTTTTCCCTCTCTGCATGTGTCCTTCCCCTAAGAATTGAGAAGAAGCCTGCAGTGTCATGCACCAGCAGTGTGCCTGAGGTGGCCTGCTTGCCTTGTTTCCCACTGACCTGCCCTCCAGTGTCTTCCTGCTGGAGGACACACGCTGGTGCCGAGCCTGGAGCAGTAGTTCATGCACTGTGATTTCTTGTAGTAGATTTAACTGCTCTCTTGGGAAAGTAACCTCTGAAGTTTAAATACTGCTTTCACTGACCATGCCAGCTCTGCATGATGTGTAGAGAGAAACCAGCTGTGCTGTGACCCCTTCCAAACTTATGGACTGTCTTCTATACGATGCTAACTCGGTGTGTGGTGGTGGTGGTGGAGAGATGCACTTACTCCCAGATAACCATTCTGCCTTGAACCGAGGTGGGCTGGGGCCCTGCGCGGCATCTGGAACCCCTGCATGGCCACAGTCTCCATTCATGCTCTGACTTTGGTGTTTCTTTTGTTTTGTTTTGTTTTTTTTTCTTTCTGCCTTGGTGTGCTGGGATCGGATCCTGCTTACCTTCCTCTCCTTACAGAGATCCTGATATAGACGCCAGATTGGGAATGTAACAGGGCTGGGTCTTCTCTTCCAGTCCCACTAGACACCATGGTAACTAATCAAGTTGGTGGTTGCTGTTAATACCTGTGTGTGTGTACACGTTTCCTCTTCCTTTGCTGACTAACCAGCTAGCTCTCCACTAACATAACTTCACTGTAATTTGTGCTGGAATCTGTTGGCAAAGGGATGATGCATTTCACTGGGTGCTTGGGTTTTCATTGTCTCATGTCTAACTGGGGTGGAGTTTGCTGTTTAGCCCAGATGGTGTCCCTCCATCTCTTCCAACAGTGAACTCGCCAGTGCATTGACTAAAGCACAGAAAATTCAGAGCCCTTTCTGTTTCAAAATAAAAGTAGATTCCCTGGAAGTGTTCCTCTGTCTCAGACAGCTTGGGTGTTTGAAAACTTGGAGGGATCTAAGTACATTAGTTGCTTAAACCTGAGTGATAACATTTAGATAGTGTAGATCTGAGGAATTTTGTGGCTAAAAGAATGAGTGATACATAATTTTAGTAACAGAAGGGCTACATTGTCTCTAATACAGTAGAAACCCCTTCCATGATGGCTGGGACAGTATTTTTTTTTTTAAATTCTTAACTGCTGCATGTATGAGGAGCTAAGTCTGCTATGGTTAGACTTATCAAAGGGTAGAAAATGCTTGCCTTGTGAGGATGTGGTCTGCTTAATGTCACTGTCCTCGTTTGTTTGCTTCTGTACTTGCTTTATAGATTATCTGTCTATGAAGACTGAGGAAAAAGGAGGCCCAGTGGTCAGAGGATTGTGGTAGTGAAGGGAACTCCCATGTCTGCTGCCAAGGAGATGGCTGGTTTACTTTCCTGGGTGCTTTGGTACAAGGAGGTAGATCTAGCACTGAGAGACCCATTACTGCATTGCCCAGAAGCTGCTGACTTTAAGGGCATTTGCTCCTGTGCTTAGATCTGCGATATTCCTTTCTCTGTCACGGGGTTGCTTTCTTTTCAGTCCTGCTTTAAGCAGATGGAAAGAAGCAATCAGAGAGTGAAAACTGGCAGCCTTCTCTTGGGGCTGTTGGTTCTCACCACAAGACAGTTCTGTTTGAAAAACAAGATTTGCTTGATTATTCAGGTAGCCATGAGGGCACACAGCTTAAAATGTCATGTGGGACTCTTGAGGTGATTGCTCCAGAGACCAGTATCTGCTGTGAGTGGGCGGCATTAATTTGGGATCACAGCCTAAGCAAAGCAAGGGAACTAATGCGGAGTTTGGTAGGAAGTACCTTGCTGATACGAAAAGCTGGTGGCTCTTGCAAGTGTTGGCTCTAACGCTGGTATAACACTTGATTGAGTAACTAGGACTGTTTAACTTCTAGTTAGAAGATAATTACCATTTACCACTGTTAGTTGAGTCTGAAGCCCCAGAGAAGAAAACACATGGGTTGGGTTGAATGGGAATATCTAAGGAACAGGGATTTTGGAGGAGCTGCTGTCCTATGTTAATAGTTGCTCCTTCATGTTGCTTACTAATAAAACTCGGAGGAAGGTTAGAGAAATACCTCGGGAGAGATGGAGAATCGTGTGTGTTTATTTTAGAATCCATTGTGTTCACTTTTACTTTGGCGTGATCTGCCACTCTCATCTTGCCATCACTCGTCTTTTTGTTTTTTGTTCTGTTTTTTTTTTTGGGTTTTTTGTGTTGCCTCTTGAACATTGTCGTGCAAACTCTGCTCTGCCACCTCGTCAGCTGCAGTACCTCTGAGAGCTTGATGTCTCCGGTTAAGCAGGCTCCGCAGAAGGCGCCCTCCGACACAGAGGGCCTGGTAAACAGCGTGCCCGCCAGATCACACCAGGTAAACTGCTTCCTGCTGCTTCCCCGAGCAGGATCCTCCCAGAGCGTGGGGAACATGGTATGGAAAACATAAAGGCAGGGTGGGACGCGTGCGTTAGGTGCTGCCTGTTAAAGTGCTGGGGGGTGAAAGTGTGTGCTCCAAACCAGGGGTGGACAGTAAGCTGGGACTGGTGGACTCTTCTGCAGAAGGCTTAGTGCAATTGGAAGATCAGCATTTTGCTACTGGCTGGGATGGAGTTTTATGCCCTTTTCATCCTAAATTATAAGAAAAAGATGGTTGTGGTCTTGTGCGTCAGCATACACAGGTTGTAGTGCAGTGCAGGGTTGGCAAGGATCAGGAGTGGGCAACGACTGGCTGTTCAGTGAAGAGACAGCATTGTCTACTAGATATGTAATCACCCCATAAAGCTGCCTAATGTCTTTTGAGGTTGTAGTGGGGAGGAATTTTCCTCTCTCATGCTCTGTGGTGTGTACTTCCTTCAGAGGGCGACGAGGCAGCGCGGTGCAGACACTGAGCAACGATGGTCAGTTTGCAGATGGCTCGTGCTGCTGAGAGCTCTCTTCTGCAGAGCCTCCCAACTCGTGTGGGCTTGAAAGTGCCACTCGTCATGCTTGCTGCTGTTGGCAAAGTCCTGCTGACTTTGAAGGAAAAAACTGTCTCTTATCCAGATTTAACATCGCATGGGAAATTAGTTAGAGGGGAGAGGGCATGAGTCAGACAGGGATTCTATGCAACGTATGATTACTTGTTAAAAGTGTGCAAGATTTCCTAATTTGGAAGCTGTTTCTTACCTCTTGATTCATGTACTCCCAGCAATTTTCCTGTGGAGGTATGGACCCTGAATGAATTTAAGTTCAAAATGGACTTTTTCTTGATTAGCCACCTTTTAGAAAGTGTGTGAACTGGTGGGTTTCTAAGTCAAAGTTAATACCTGGGTTCCTAATTTTTCCCGACAAAACAATGGAGATGTGTGTTAATGTGTTAACACTACGGGAAAAAACCTAAATGTGCTTTATCCAGTGAGCTGGATAAAGTCAAAGTCCCTACTCTGTTGGGCTTCTGGTTTGGTTTTGAAATGCATTTTGTTCTGGGCCTTTTCAAGAGTTTTAGCACACAGGCCCACAAAGCTGCCTTCTGACTTGGGAGATCAGTTATTCTCTGAACACAGAGGCTATATACTCAAGTTGTAAGATTTAAAGATAAGTTCAGATTTTGACTGGAATGGGTCTAGTAGCAGCAGCTTATAAGGCCTAGATAAAGCTTGTCTTTTCTAGATCACGGGAGGAGCTTCTAGAATGGGTGAGTGAGACAGGTGCTTCCCGCTGTTCCCCCTTCAAAAAAAAAAAAAGGTTTTGTGGGATTTATATTGCAGTAGGTGTTGGAGTTGATGTCCCTAGGTCACAAGACCAAGATGTTTTGTCTAATTACTGTCCTGGTATGAAGCAGTACATGGAAGTGCCCTGAGAGCTACAGGGATTAAGAGTTTTGCTGTTCTGCACTTACATGTTAAAAGACTTTAATGTTTTGGTGTGAAAACTTGCAGTGTCCTCACGTTCCCATGTCCTCAGTGTTCTGGGTCTCAGTGTACTGGAAGGAACATGTCAGAGTAAATCTAAACTGTGTAAAGATAACCCAGGATCAGTGAGCTTTTGTCCTTCTGTAGCTACCCTGGTCTGCTTATTCCTTAAGAGGGCCCTCCAGGGTCTTCCTGCAGGTAAGTTCCTAAAGGAAAACTCAGAGTGTGAACACTGCTGATCTCAAAGGAAAAATACTGCAAATGGCTTTTGTTTCATTCAGATTTTTAGATTTTTAATCTCTTAGGCAAAAAAGAGTTTTGTCTGGATTTTCTTTTCTTGGCAAACATTTGTAGCAGCAAGTGGTTCCTCTGCCTTCTGTTAAACATTTGCCCCATTTTACAGAACAAGCAAACAAATTTACTTTTCTTTAAAAACATCCACAATGAAATCAGGGTAGATCAGATTTTGAACAGAGTGTTTATATCAGTGAGAAAACTAAATTTCAGTTGCATTTCTATATTTCGCTTATATTTTTAACTTCTAGCCATTGTTTTGTTGATTATTTTTATAAGGGTCAAATCAACATATTTGAAATCTAACATCACATATGAGTAAAACCCAGTATTTCTTGGTAATCAAGAAATTAGTTGCAGTATCCAAGCTTTTGAGGTGTTGTGTAGGTGAAATGCAGATATCCAGATTCCTGGAGTTCCCAGAAGCTGCTTGCTGATTCAGGCACACTCTTGTCTCTTGGAATGCCTGGCAGTTTTACACCAGTGGTTCCCACAGTCAGTGCTGTGGTCAAACAGCAAAGGCCTGTGGTCTTCCTTGTAGCCTTTCACTTGGTGGGATGTGTAGGAAGTGACTGAATGCTTTGTGCTGGAAAAGAACTGTGAATACAAACACACGACCCCTGCCTCTGCAAGTTAAAAACAGTGACAGAGGTGGTCACTCTTCAAGAGTGGCATTTAAATTGATTAAATTAAGTTTATTCTTTTTTTTTATTTATGTGTCGGTTTAAGTATCAATGGTGGAGTATTTGTCCACATCACTTCTCAGCTGAAAGTGCACTGAGGCTGCATTTCCTTTGTGTGTTTTGAGTGCGAGTTAATCAGGTGTGGACCTTGCTTTTTGGAGTGCCCCAGAGTGCTGAAAGTGTGAAAATCTGATTCTGTGAGTGCTCAGCTGATTGAATCAGCTCCACTTGTTTTCACTGTGCCTTCCTTCTCCTCAGGTACGTTCTGTCCTGTCAAGTTTGTGTGTGGTGTTTCTTGTCCGTGCCATCACTCTGCGGTGACTCCTGTCCTACCATGACTATTATTTGAAGGCCAGAATTACACGTATTTCCCACATGGATGTCCTCGTTTAGTAAACTGGGTTACAGCAGTCAAATGGGAAGGCAGATTGTCCCAAAATATGCCAAACTCCAAGGTGGCTGTCACTTGTCTTTGTGCTTTGCAAGGAGCTGAGTGTTCACTACTGGGCAGGCTGAAGGACACTGATGCTCAAGAGTGACGTCCACAGAAGGCATTTCTGATGTACAGAGCAGGTTGGTGCAGAGGTTCCTGAGCAGGGAGGTCTCTCAGTGTAGAACTGGGGAGCACTGAAGCTGCATTAACATCTGCTACAGAAGTGCAGATCTCTGGCTTTGCTCTTTCTGGTTTAAGATAGATCTGAACAGGCTGTGTTTGAGCCTCTGTTCCAGGCTTTAAACTGGTTCTCACGACCCCGAGAAGGAGCAGTTCATAGTGCCAGGAATCTTGATTTAAATTTCAGGTAACTTTCCTGGAGCTGGAATCTGTGGTAGTTGGAACAGGTTTCAGAATCTATAGAATTTGAAAATACTGTAGACTCCTGTTAGACCATGATGGTCTAACTTTGTAATTCCTTTTTCTTTGCTGTAACTTGCAATTCATGACAACTGCAAACCCTTAGCAGGTACTCCTGCTGGTTCTTTTCCCTTCAGTTCTAAATGGAAAAATTGCAAGGTTCTGGGAAATGCTGGTTTTGTGTAGCAGTGCTGGTCTGTCTTCTAATTCTGAAGAGTCAGGATGAGCTTATTTGGGATTAGATGAAAGTTCTGAATTGTTTAGACTTTTTTTTTAAGTGACCCTGAATTAGTTGATTGTAGTCAGCTAGAAAATCAACTGGCAGCAAATAAAATAGATGGAGCATTGTAATAAATCCTTGGTCCTCCTTTGCCCTTTGTTAGCTAACCTACCACTTACTTAGGTGGCTGACAGTGAACATATTGAGACAGTGGTAGCTTGGTTTGGGTCAGGTGATCAGGCCAGTCAGTCTCTCCACCACCACCTAACATTCTGGTTGCAGCAGAATAGCTGTATTTAAATGGCATAAACCAAGAATAGTGATAACTGATCCTGAGGGGACAGGATCAGTTAGGTCAGAATAGTGATAACTGGTCCAGAGTGAACTCCCATGGTAGAAGATTGATCCATCAGAATTACTTGAACAAAACTTGGAGAGTCATAATGATTGCTTTATGCAGTTAGAGATTTATTAATTTTATTTTTTTTAACTGATAGAAAGTGCTCTTGAGCTGAATTTATCCTACCTCTGGCCTCAGGCAGATGAGACTTCCAAAATTGCTTGCAAATAAACTTTAAGGTTACTTTGCCTTGAAGTTTATGTAGCTACTGCACTCTAATTGGAATTAGTAATGTAATCCTGATACAGTGTTGGAGACCAGAACAACATGAAAGCAAATAGCAGAAAAAAGAAAAAAATGGCTATATTGAGATTTAAAATCCAGGACTTTCTAAGACATCAGTGTCCTTTTTTTTTTCCCCTTCATTTTCTCAGTCTGCTGTTTATATTCAGTGTTTTATATCCACTCGTAAGTTTTTGCCCTTCTGTCTGTCTTCTGCTCTTTTATCACCTTGGAAATACCTTACCCAGAAGGAAGAAAAATGTGGATTTAAATTACTTCTGAAAGAGAACAAGGTATTTATCAGGTGTGTGCTTTGCCACTGTGCTGGGGGGAAAACAGCTGTGCAGGAAGGTACTTTACGGTCCTTCAAGGGCTTAATTTTCTGTACAGAAGGTCTCTTTTCATCTCTGGCTCCTGATTGGTTTGGGAGATAGATGGAAGGATTTCTGGGTCAGTTCTGTAGAAGTGTTTCCTAATTTGCCAGGATTCCAAAAGTATTGGCAAGACTGGAGTAGGAGAAGTGCCTGTGAAGGCTCCTTCTTCCTGGAACATGAGGGAAACTGAAACAGTTAATTGGATGAAATGTTTTGAAGGAAAAACTGCTAAAAAAGCCACAACCAAACTAAAAGCTCTCTCTCTCTCTGTAATTCCCCCCACTCACCCCCAAACAGGACAGTCCCTTTCCCTCCTGCAGGGTGTGTGAGGGGTGTTCTCTGTGCTGAGGTGGTCCCAGCCTTGTGCTCTGTGCTTGTGTCAGCTGAGGAGTGCAGTGTGGGAGCTGCAGGTCAGACCTGGCCATAGGGGTCCCACCTGTCTTGTTGGGCACCTGTTCTGTGTAGGCTCCAGTCCTGTCTCCAATAGCTGCAGTTTTCTCTCCTGTGGGCTGTTTTGGAGGACGTGGTGTTTTGGGAAGGTGCAGGCACGTTTGCTCAGCTGAAGGACAGTGTTGGTAATGTCCCCCACTGCACCCCAGCAGAGGTAACAAAGGTGTGTGGCCGTGCCTGCCCAGGGTGTTTATGGAGCTGTGCAGAGCTTGGGCTGGTTCAGAAGTCAGGTAAGAATTCTGTACTGCTGCACCATTGCAGTACTTTCTGTACTACACTGCTGTGTAAGCCTTGATTCCATCACTTGTTTGGGCAGTGACCCATGTCACAGGGGGGCTGCAGGTTTGTTCCCTCCCTTATTATCTAAGTGGTCCAGTGGTGCTGGAATTTACAGGAACTGAGTGGCAGAAGGAGAAGTACCCTCTGCTGTGGACTGATAAATCTGTAGTACAGATCCTCCTGAACAATAACAAATCTGGCGTGCATCTGACTAAGCCACGTGTCTTTACTCCATAACACGTAAGAATTGCTGCATTTCAGAGCAAAGGATTCTAGATTTTGCTTTTTATGGGAAGGAAGAAGTCTCAGAGGGAGGAAAGGGCGCTGTTGGCATTGCTCCCAAGAGCAGAAAGGTGGCAGACTAGAGCTCATTCGCAGGCCAGGGTTCATTCCACCTGCTTCCAAGTGCCGTTCGCAGTCATTAAAGCTCCGTGGTCTTGCTTTGGCTTTCATCTTGCTGCAGACGTGCTGCCTGTTCTGAGAAGTCCTGATGGCTCCTCTCTGTTGTGTCCCCAGGGCCCAGTCATTTACGCGCAGTTAGATCACTCCGGGGGACAGCACAGCGACAAGATCAACAAGTCAGAGTCCGTGGTCTACGCCGACATCCGGAAGAACTGAGATGAGATCCTAAGCTGTCCAAAGGAGAACACACACTCAGACTGGAATTGCTTGAACAAGATTTGACCCAGAGAACTCACATGTGGCCTTTGATGCCTAGGCTAGGACCAATGCATGTGCATACAGAGGGAAAGATATATATGTATTGTGTGTAAATAGTCTATTTAATCGTACAGAAGTGAGACCAATGTTGCATGTTGAAATGCGGTAAGAATTTTTGCTTATAAATCGCCGATATTCTTTTTTTGTATCATGTGTGACGAGAGAGAAAGTGAAAACTCGCATCACGATTTTTAAATATTTTTATCTTGATTATTAATGGAGAAACTGGAAGATGCCTGAAGATTCTAGGTTGACCTGGAGATTCTTTTTTTTTTTCTTTTTCTTTTCTTTTTTTTTTTTTTGCTTATAAGGCCTTCTTTTGTTGAGATGAATATAAAGGAGACATCTTCTTTATATCCACTGAATTCCTTATGTATACAGGGTATTTATCTTTCTTTGGTCAGATTCTCGGTAAAAGCTGCCTTCTCATGTAAACTAGACCCTCTCACTTGGTCTTGTAAGCCAAATTGTGACTCCTAGCTGTCAGAAATGTATGTCTTAGCAGTGTAAGTGAAGGAAATCTTTAGGCCTACCTGACCTGTGTAACACAGGTCACAGAACTGTTTACTTCTCTAAGAGCCCAGCTATTCAAGATTAGTCCTTTGAGGTGCAGGGATAGTGTTGATCTAATGAATTTTGTGGAATGGTATGAATGAATTTTGTGAACACTAAGGAGATAGTGAGTTAAAGGCATAGGAAGCTGTAGCTGTAGGTGGTTACCTCAGACTCTGTTGAACCTTTCAGTGAAATGTTTCTTCCTCAAAGCTGTGTCATTTCATGTAAGTGTGAAAAAGGGCTCCAAAGGATCTGGAAGCTGTAGTACTCCCTTACTTCTCCCATGGCTCCGTTATACCACTGTCACCTCCTTAGAGGTGCTTTATCTGTTCTTAAAAGCCTGTAGTAGATGCTGAATGACCTCTGGAGAATGTCTAGGGCTCTTTGGGTTTTTTGATGTGTGGGTTTTTTTGGTGTAACCTATATTTGCACAGAGGATGCGGAAGGGCAGTTTATTTCCTTCATCTCTGCAAGTCTACTGCTTGAGTATAGTTCCCCAGCTTCTTGTTTCTAGGTTAAACTCCTCCTAGATCGTTAAGGATCTCTGCTGATGAGGATCTTTCTTCTGCTGATCCACAGTATCCTGAAATCTGGTGCTCAGAGCTAGAAGTGGCATTCCAACAGAGATCTTCTCAGAGTAACATATGGTAGAAGGATTTCTGTTTTGTGCATCCTAATGCGGTGTCGTTTGGCCTTTTTTTGTGGCAGCAAATGATTTTCAGTTTGGTCTCTCATAACGCCTTGTCTCTGATTCTTACCCATTTCCTAGTTCTGTCTTGTTGCACGGAATCAGTCACAGAATGGTTGAGGTTGGAAGGGACCTCTGGAGATCATCTAGTCCAACCCCTGCTCCTCAAGCAGGGTCAGCCAGAGCAGGTTGCCCAGCACTGTGCCCAGCTCTGAGTATCTCCGTGGGTGGAAACTCTACAGCATCTCTGGGCAGTCTGTTCCAAATGAACTCAAGCCTAATGTAACACCAAGTAAATGAGAAATAGTTATAGGCCCGTGGAAGACCCTTTCAGAACCACGTTAGATAATCCTTTGATTATAACAGTGGAACTTTAATAGCTGTTTTTTGTACAGTGGGGTTTTTTTTCCCAACAAAGTTGGGCATGCCAACACTACATCCCTTCATCAGGATCAGCCTTCACAGGTTTTCTGACAACACCTGCCTTTATTAGAAGTTGACAGCTTTATTTTTGTATACATGCACTGCCTAGATTTTAAGACATTGTCCTCAAAGCCAGAACCAGCTTCTTAAAACTGAGGCTCAAAAGGAAACCATGGATTAATTTATTCTGCTAGATGTCAGTTCCTAATCCTGCAATATCTGAATTTGTGTAACCCTTGTTACGGGACTTGGCTGATATCAAAGAAAGGACATGTTTCAAGATGTTTTTAAGATATCAGTTTTCAGATGTTTGCCAAGTCCTGTTGGGAGCTGAGACACTGTGCTGTGGCTCACTAACCATTGCAGCTCTGAAAGTTATGTAGCATTTTATTTTTTGGCAGTAATGCATACAAGATGAAAAATGAACAAATTTCTTCTCCACAGAAGGCCTTTAAATATCATTTTCTACTTCGAGGATTAAACAGGGGTTTTAGCAAGACTCCACATGATGGGCTATGATGCTTCTTCCCAGTGCTGGAAGCTGATGGAGTGGGACCTACTTGTCCCAGACACACTCAGGGGCAGTTTGCCAACTCAAGCTTCCATCTGTCGATACCGTCCAGTATCTGTTGTGTGCCAAAGCACTGTTCTTGGTTGCTGCAGTACTCACATTGGTGACTGTAGCCAGCAAATTCTTTACTCAGAAGGTGGGGACGCCCTGGCACAGGCTGCCCAGAGAAGTTGTGGATGTCCCGCCCCTGGAAGTGTTCAGGGCCAGGTTGGATGGGGCTCTGAGCAACCTGGTCTAGTGGAAGGTGTCCCTGCCCATGGCAGGGGTGTTGGAACAAGATGGTCCTTAAGGTCCCTTCCAACCTAAACCATTCTGTGCTTCTGTATGATCTCCTCAGGTGCTGGATTCTGCACCTGGGATGGGGCGGCCCTGGATGCACGGACAGACTGGGGAATGAGATGCTGGAAAGGAGTGCCACGGAAAGGGCCCTGGGGGTCCTGGTGGGTGGCCAGTTGGCCCTGAGTCAGCAGTGCCCTGGCAGCCAGGAGGGCCAACCCTGTCTGGGGGGGACATCAGGCAAAGCATCTCCAGCCGGGCCAGGGAGGGGATTGTCCCGCTCTGCTCTGAGCTGGGGCGACCTCACCTGCAATATTGGGGCAGTTTTGGGTGTCACAGTATAAGAAAGATATTAAGCCATTAGAGAGCATCCAGAGGAGGGCAGCAAGGATGGGGAAGGGTCTGGAGGGGAAGCCATGTGAGGAGCAGCTGAGGGCACTTGGCGTGATCATCCTGGAGAAGAGGAGGCTGAGGGGAGACCTCACTGCAGTTACAACTTCCTCGGGAGGGGAAGAGGAGAGGCAGGAACTGATCTCTTCATCTCGTGACCAGTGACAGGACTCGAAAGGGTGTGAAGCTGAGCTGGGGGAGATTTAGGTTGGATATTAGAAAAAGGTTCTTTGCCCAGAGGGAGGTTGGGTACACTGGAACAGGCTCCCCAGAGAAGTGGTCACAGCACCAAGCCTGACAGAGTTCAAGAAGTTTTGGACAACACTATCAGGCACATGACTCTTGGGGATGGTCCTGTGCAGGACCAGGAATTGGACTTGATGGTCCTGGTGGGTCCCTTCCAGCTCAGCATATTCTGTGGTTCTGTGATTAGGAGCAGAATGAATCCTGCTGCTGCTGCTTTCCTTAACTACCAGGCTAATACTTCCCAACATTTGTTTTACACTTAATAATAAACTAATGCTTTTGATGTGTTTGATGGAGAACCTTGATTTTGATCTACCTGCATTCATGTCTGTACATCACCATCTTTCTCCCCAAGAAAGTATTTTCGAGTAAGAGGGAGAATTGCGATGAATGTAGTGATCAAAAACTTGCTGCTATGAGAAGATGGGGCTGGCCTCGCCTCTGAATTCTGCTACTAATGTTTGTTTCTTTTCCTGCTGGAATATACTGGAGAATCTGAGCACAATTCTGATGTGGTGCTAACTTTAGGAATCACACTAATCTGGTGCTAACTTTGGGAGACGTGCTGATCTGGTGCTGACTTTAGGAGAAACACTGATCTGGCTAATGCTGACTGATGTAAGGAGACACCTCCTTGCACGGCTTTTGTCTGGCTACGGGTACATAGATATTGCCTAGACTGAGGAGGCACCTTGCAAGGCTGCTTGGGTCCTCTTTGTGAAGGCAGAATGAGCTTTGAAGTATTTTTAAAAAACGCTGAACATCTTTTTAGAAAGAAACAAAATACTCTTTCCCCAGGAATGGCAGAAATCAGCCTGAATCCCTCTCCAGTGGTAGGGCTGTTCAATTTTTTTTTTTGTCATGAAAATGTGAACAATGTAGCTATTAAGTAACAGATTGAAGTCAAAAGGACTTCAGGCATTGTGAGACAACACTTGTGAACTTTCTGTCCATCAGGTTATCTTACCTTGTTTAATGATATGATAACCTGTGCTGGTGAACGGGACTGAGGGTGAGTTGGCTTACTTAGTAAAGTCACAGGAGACAGAGGACTTCTACTTCCTTGATGGGTAGAGCAAACAGAGGTTAAAGTCAAACAAGGTCATCATATCTTGACGTTGTGGTGACCAGAAGTTTAGCTCTGCTTGCTCTGCTGCTCCTTGCAGGTTGAAAAGAACAGCTTGAACTTTGAGGAGCACGAAGGGCATTGCCCTTGTCCTGCTGTAGGACTGCTGCCAGCTCTTTTTAGGACCATCTATTTTAAAAATAAGTGCTGCATGCCAAGCTTGCAGCAGCCCAGCAGAGGAGTAGGTGCCTCTCTTGAGGCAGCAGCCTCGAGGAGTAAAACTAGGTGGGTCATTGCTCCTGGATAGCGGACCTGGGGAAGGTCTGTGTGATGGAAAAGACTTGCAATGAATTCTCTTTTATTCATCATGCAAACAAAACTGGGATCAATCTGAAATCTTCTTTATTTTTGAGTACCATAAATGAGTTTCAGGAGAAGGATTACAAATAATTGTAAGGTACCAATGGAAGTAATTTGATAGCTGTACTCAGTACATCAGATTTCCACTGCCCCTTCTGACTTCAGCAGTTGTTCTGTGGGGAAGATGGTCACCATGCTCACGAGGTGGCATTAAGAGCCATAACAGGGTGGCAAGTACGTCCCTGTAACTCATTGTCCGATGTGTCATTTACAACCAGAGACCTGCAGGGTTTTGTTTTCTCTCAAAGCTTTAGTGATATTTCAGTTTGTGACTAGAAGAGCTGTAATTAGGTTTTTAAACTTTTTAAACCTGTGAGAACTGTTTAGGTAACCATCTGTAACTGCAGTAAATGTGTATGTGCAACTTAGGAGCTGCATCGCCTTAGAGTGGATTCACTGAGGTCAGGCACAGACTGATTGATTTGTAACCAAAACACCTTCGATCTGTATTGAAATCTTGTCTTGGAATTTTGCATTACTAATCTATCTGCCTGGGACCTCAAATGCTCTTATTGTATAATAGGTGATGGAAATATTTTCTCTTTAAAACCACCAAAGTGGAGAA